ATGTTGCTGGGCATGGTGGCTTATGCCTGTAATCCCAGCACTTTGGGAGGCCGAAGCAGGCAGATCAATTGAGATCAGGAGCTCCAGACCAGCCTGGCCAATATGGTGAAAACCTGTCCCTACTAAAAACACAAAAATTATCCAATGTCGTGGTACGCACCTGAAATCTCAGCTACTAGGGAGGCTGAGGCAGGAGAATCTCTTGAACCTGGTGGATGGAGGCTGCAGTGAACTGAAATCATGCCACTGCACTCCAGCCTGGGTGACAGAGGGAGACTCCATCTCAAGAAAAAAAAAAAAAAAAAAACGTAAAATTTCAGGTCCCACTTAACATTTATAATAGGATTTCCCCATGATTCATGTATTCATTACAGTTTGGATGCCCTTCGTTAATTTCAATGCCTTTTTATCATATGTAAATCTGGTGTTAATACACATCTTCCTGGCCTGGGTGCATTTAAGGTGCAGAAAGCTAAGACGGAGCATGCAGAGGATGCCCATGGAAAACAGATGCCGGGTGTACAAGGTCAGAAACAACATTCAGCCACTGCTGGCTTGTGGCTTGCTCAAATGACCAGGCTGCACAGCCTTCATTTGCAGATCAATAATCATTTCTTAAATATATTTGGTCCTGGACTCTGATCTCTGTGCAGGAGATAGCCATATTTCTCTCACAAACTTTTACGATCAGTATAAAACGGCTTTTATAGTGGATTCCATCAGAAGAATGGATCGTGAGGGATGAGCAGGTATTCTTAGTTTGGGCAATGTGCAACTCTGTGAAACACTAGCCTTAAAGTAGCTCGGCTTTAAAACAAAACAGTCTGATGAATCTTTCCTTAATATTCCCTTTGGATGTTCTATTTTCAATGAATAGTTTCAAGATCAGGAATTAATATCAAGCGTGAAATAACTAGTTAGTGCTCGCGAATAGTTTTGGAAACAACAAAAATGTCCTATTCAGATCTAGATAATAGTTGAGTTACATTTCTTCTGACTTGGATTAACAGTCACATCTGCAATCTGGTTTGTGGCTGCAGCACAGTCTAAATACATTCTGATTGCATGTCCCTAAGGCAAGAGGAGGCAGCTTAGTAGGATGTACTGAGGAGACGGTGACAAGGAGTCCTCTCAGCTATCTGCTGACACCAGATCAACAGCTCCAGACGCCAGTACCACACTCAGAACTCAAAGCCCCTTTAAAAACAGAACTTCTCAGATGGTTCTTTCCCAAACCCCCGGCTTTTCACTTCTTTAATTCATCATACCCTATGATCTGTTGCTTTTTGAGGATGTAGGTATATCTTCTGCTAAGAGCAAACAGAACAATCGCCTCGATGTTAAAGGACAATTTGAAAAGAAAATGTATTTCAGAAAGCCGAAATGGTCATACATGTGCTTAAAGTTAGCTTCCAACTGTTGTACTTAAAACTTTATCAAATGATCAAAAATGCAACATACCTTTACATTTGATTTCTACAGGAGAACACTTGAGAGGGAAATACACATTGACATAACACCTCATATAAACCTTACAAAGCAACATTTTTTTTTCCTTAAATCATGCATTTTCTTTTTTTCTGAAATTCATTTCTAAATTAAAATATATGATTTATGTATATTATGTGTGCTCAAAATATTCCAAATGCTAAAAGCCTTAAAATCATGCCTGTAGCATGTTCTAAAACTAATGCTACACAATTGCATTAAAAGAAATAAATAAAAATTAGAAAATGCTTTAGTTACATATTACTGATTTTCTACTACCTTCTGGGTCAATATAATTTACAAAATTTTAAATTTAAAAATAGATTAGGAGATACATGTGACATTTTCTTACATGGGTACCTAAATAGCATACACTGTACCTACTAAGTAATTTCTTATCCTTCAACCATCCTCCTACCCTCCCGCCCTTCTGAGCTTCCAACATCTGTTATTCTGCTCTCTTTGTTCATGTGTATACATTATTTACCTCCCACTTGTAAGTGGAAGCATGCAGTATTTGACTTTCTGAGTTAATTCACTTAAGATAAAGGCCTCCATTTCCATCCATATTGCTGCAAAAGACATGATTTCATTACTTTCATTTTTTTATGGCTGAATAGTATTTATTTTATTTTTGTGTGTGTGACACTTTCTGTATCCAATCATCTGCTAATGGACACTTAGATTTATTCCATATCATTGCTATTGTATATAGTGCTGCAATAAACATACCAGTGTAGGTATCTTTTTTGACATGATGGTTTATTTTCCATTGAGTAGATACTCAGTGGTGGAATTGATGGCTCCAACAGTAAATCTATAATGCATGCTGATGAAGATGCTTTTCAGGGATAGGTTATATCCAAAGAAAACAAATTTAAGCTCTATGAGAGATAGATATTTAGAACAAATGAGAGGAAGGGTACTTGAATTACCCCAGCCTCTCCCTTTCCTACATTTACTCCCTAATATTAGAATCTCTTCCTCTTCAGCTCTATGTGAACATCTTTCTTTACCACAAGGTAGTTGTGGGTGTTAAATCATATGTTACATCCTAGACAAAAGACATGGTGTAATATCTGACCCACCACAGGTGTTCAGTAAATGGCTGACACTCTAATGGTCTGAGGAATGCCCTACTATTAATGTTCTAGTAGTAATAGCAACAATTTTTAATAACATGGAAAGGGAGAGAAAAAGGAATCCCTGAGATAACTAGGAAGACTTTTGCTTTTAAAGTTAGTCATTTTCTGAATTTTTTTCTAAGCATATTTACAAGCTAAAATTCCACCACTTGACTAAATATATTCTCAGGTGACACAACTAATTAATTAATTAATTAATAATGAACTTATTTGTCAATTTGCTATATTTTATGGTTATAAACTTTCTTCGAAAATAATCTCTAGCCCAAATTTAAACCTAACCTGTTTATTATATAAGAATGCTTATAGATTTTATTCAATAATTTAGTCCAATAAGTTACATAGATTGAAAGTATCCCTCTCTATATATAATTTACACATTGCCACAGAGAAAGTGTTGTTCTTGCTAAGTGCGATTTCTCATGCCTATAATCCCAGCACTTTGGGAGGCTGAGTTGGATGGATCACGAGTTCAGGAGTTTGAGACCAGCCTGGCCAACATGGTGAAACCCCCTCTCTACTAAAAATACAAAAATTAGCTGGGCATGGTGGCACATGCCTGTAATCCTAGCTACTTGGAAGATTGAGGCAGGAGAATAGCTTGAACTCCAGAGGTGGAGGTTGCGGTGAGCTGAGATCATGCCACTGCACTCCCACCTAGGTGACAGAGTAAGACTCTATCTCAAGAAAGAAAGAGAGAGAGAGAGAGAGAGAGAGAGAGAGAGAGAGAGAGAGAGAGAAAGAGGAAAGAAGGAAAGAAAGAAGAGAGAGAGAGAGAGAGAGAGAGAGAGGGAGAGAGAGAGAGAGAGAGAAAGAGAGAGAGAGAAAACAAAGGGAAAGAAAGAGGTTTTCTTTTTCCCCCATGTTGATGATGTTAATTTGGTTCATATGTGCTTGCATTTACATTAGTCAAAAGAAATGCTTATAGTACAGAATTGAGGAAAGTTGCTGAGTAGAGCTGCTATTTAAAGATTTATAGATGTGTGAGAGGTATTTCTATTAATTAGCATCCCCGAATTGGTCTAATTATGTCTGTGCCTCACATGTCTTTCAAAGATTTGGTACTCTTTGCTGTCTATTCCTGTTCTCAAACCAGTTCTCTCTGTGGTGGAAGAATGCATGGGGGCTTATTTTGACAGTAAGAGACTATCAAATGGTTGCAATATTGGAATAAAATAGCTATCTGAAAGTAAGAATGTATTATTTCCACTTTGTTAAACGCACAAAAATGGTAACAAATCATGGCAAACTGGTGGATTTGAAAAAGCTTCCTGGCAAATGCCAGTACCTATCTCCAGCATGGTACAAAACGTTGAAGTATGACACTGACTTTTCAGTGAGTATAGTTTAGGAAGATGAGAGTTTTTGGGAGAACTGCATATTTTCTACTATTTTGCATGTTAGGCTAACCAGGAAGCACTTGGCTCAGAGGTACTTTTAACTACATCCTTACACCCGTAGTAACTATTTTGTCTCACCTAGCAGTGTGCAGTGCCTTTCTGGACATCCATTCCAGTTGAGCTGATCTGACGTGAATTTCATCTCCAGTGCTTAGAGATGAGGCCTTGCAGTTCTGTTCTAAACTGGGAGAACAGCGGTGAGAGGGTGTATGGGAAAATAAGGCCTTCAAAACCCCCTGCCTGAAAAGACCTCCGTTTGTTAAGGTGGAATCGGACACTGCTGAAATCCTCAAAGGAAAGAGGGTTAGCTTTGAAGAATGGAGGAATAAGAACAAATCCAGATGCTCTAATGAACAGCACTGACTAAATTGATTTTCATTATTATTATTAGCCTATCAGAAAAGACATATGCAAGTCAAAGGACAAATTATTTTTTTTAACAATGTTGTTTTAAAGGCTATAAAGAGTGTGTAGATTTAAATATTGATTTTATTGTTGTTGTTTTTTTTTTTTTTTTTTTAGAGCGGCATGGACTATACGGCCCAGTTGTCTGTGCAAACGTTGTGCAGACGATAATAACCGCTGATAACCTCACTGCAGCATCTATCATCTTGACAGAGTTAGAGCAGTGAAGATCCGCAAAACCAGGCGTGATGCTTGATTTTGCCGGCAGCAAAGGTACCGAAGGATACCGGGAAGACTGGTCAGTATTGCCTTTCCTGTGGTTGTGCTATTATTGTTTGTTTTGTTGTCGTTGTTTTATGTTTTGGCAGAGGCCAGCGCTGTTTTCGGGGTGAAGAAGACCGTCAGCAGACCTCAGCCTCGCCGCTAGAACTCCCCAGCCTTCGCTCGGAGTCCGCCGGTCCGCAGCCTGCGGCAGGGAGGCGCGGGCACCCGCAGGTGGCGCCCCACGTCCGTGTTTGCGCCCTCGCCCGCGCTCCAGGCGCAGCTCGGAAACCCCGCGCGTCTCCCCGGGTCGTTCGAGCCAGCACTGAGCCCGCAGTTTAATAAATAAGCGCGAGCGCCATCAGCTTCACCAGCCCGAGGTCCAGCGGAGCAGACACACAGACCCGCCGGGGCCCCTCTTCCAGCCCTGAAGCAACCGGACAGTTCCCAAACGGGATTCTGGAACCGCAGCTCGTAAATCATCAAATTCTCAAGCTTTTTCTCTCTCCGTCCCAGCCATCCCAGTCTTCTTTTTATTTTTATTTTTTTAACCTTTTTTTTTTTTTTTTTTTTGCCCCTTTCATTATGAAAGTGGTCACGCCATTAAATATTAAGACTTGGAGGGAATTGGGGAAAGAAAAGAAAGAATCTAAAAGAAGAGAAGCCACTGGTGCTTTTAAGGGTGCCTAATTTTCTAAAGAGACGTCTCGGAGGATTTTGCTCGGGGCGTTCCGGTGAGCCCGACCTGGGCGTTGGAGGGTGCCGCGGGCGGGGGAGCGGGGCAGGGTCGGAGTCCTGCGCTCGGCTGTGCTCTCTGGGTCTGGCGGGGCTGCGTGGCCGAAGGTTACCTACTAGGGAGCCGCGCTATGGGCTCGCTGGGGGCCGGAGCGCGAGGGGCCCCAGGTAGCGGTGCGGGAGCGAAGCGCAGGGGTTGGAGGAACCCTGGCGCGCGGCGCGGGGCGCTGAGCCGGGAGAGGCGCGGGGCGCTGATCCCGCCAGACTAGGGGCTCGCGGTCCCGGGCTCCGCGCCTAAGCGGGCGCGTGGGGCGCGGGGCGTGGTGCACCCCTGAAGCTGCGCGGGCTGGCGCGGGAAAACGGCGGGGCGGGGCGGCGCGGTTATTGGCCACGCGCTGGGAGCAGGGTCGCGCTCCGTGTCCGCCTCCCGACAGCTCCCGCTGGCCTCATTTTCTCTAAGCAGAGCAACTTCGCGGACCGCGGAGCTCGCCCAGCATGGATGTTCCAGGTAACCACCCCGACCTGCCCTCCCCACCCCTGCATGCAGGCGCCTTCTGTGTGGATTTTAACCAGGATTGTCGCCGGTCCAGGTCGAGGGTGGGGGCGGTGGCGAGAGAGAAGGGAAATCGTGTAGGAGCGGGGCTGTGGACAGCGGGTGTTTATCAAGCGCCAACTTCTCGGTTCTTAGAAAGAACACTGGAAGAGTGAATGGGAGCCTGTGGGCGGTGAGGGGGCGGCTTCTTTGCGCGTCTCCGGGCTGGTATTGAAATGGCCTGTCTGCTTTCCTGGGAGGAGCGGGGACCGGGCAAAAGTGCAGGCGGGCGCGTAAGTTCGCAGAAACCTGCAGGTGCTGCCGCCCAGCCGGGAAAGAGAGAAGCCCCGGGATCTGGAAACCTGAGCTGGAGAATAAGCGGAGCCTGGGATTCCGTCGTCGGAATCCGTCCTTCGCCGGAGAGAGGAATCCCAGGGCTTTCTCCACGGGGCTCGCTAGTGGCTGCGGGGACGTTGGAAGTGGGTGTTGGTTTTACTGCGTGTGTGTGTGTGCGCGCGCGTGCGTGTGTCATTTCCCCCTCTTAATCTTATTCACCCTAAGGAGATTCATGGGTTTGTGCTTTGGGTGGAAAATAGATAAAATCTATTACCAAAGGGACTTAAATGGACTTTAGATACCTCTCGAGGATGGAAAAAGAGGATAGCAGGGAAACAAGGGGAAAAAAAAAAAGGGGCTCCGTGGTGCTGCTCCGAGGAAACGCCGTGAGACGAAGGCGAGAAGGGAAGCCCCCGTGGGTTCTTCTCTGCCTGCGTCTCAGCCCCCTCCGCGCCGGTGAATGGGCGGGGTGGCGGTGACGCCTTCTGAGGGTCTCGGGCCCGTCTGCGCGACGAGGACCTGCAGAAGCGCGCCCCCCTCCCTCGCCGCAGCCCCGCGCGCCGCTCGGAGCCTTCAGGGATGCGCTGCCCGCCGCGCCTGGGCGTTTCTCCGGACCTGTTGTGCCGGATCGGAAAGCGGGTTGGCTGCGCGCGGGACCAAGGGGGTGGCCTTCGGGGAGAGGCCCCGAGCCGCAGTTCCCCTTCTTCCCGGTGGCTCCATCTCCCGGTGTAAGGCTTTGGGTTCTGTGCCCCGACAGGTCCACGGGCGCCTTTCTTCTGAGAACGACCCTGGCCTTGACCGTCAGAGCGAGGGACCGAGGCCCGCGGAGGTTGCTCCGGGCCCCGCGCGCTCCTGCGCGTCCTCCCGCGCTGCTCCGGCCCCCGCCGGCCTCCGCCCCCGCGCGCCGCCCCCCACCAGCCCAGATGCCGGCGCCGGGCCGGGGGCCACGCGGGCTGCGGCTGACCATGCCCGGGCGCCGGGGGGCGCTGCGCGGGCCGGGCAGCTGCGGATCCTGCCTGGGGGTGGCGCTGGCCCTGCTGCTGCTGCTGCTGCCCGCCTGCTGCCCCGTGCGGGCGCAGAACGACACGGAGCCCATCGTGCTGGAGGGCAAGTGCCTGGTGGTGTGCGACTCCAGCCCGTCGGCGGACGGCGCCGTCACCTCCTCCCTGGGCATCTCCGTGCGCTCCGGCAGCGCCAAGGTGGCCTTCTCCGCCACGCGGAGCACCAACCACGAACCGTCCGAGATGAGCAACCGCACCATGACCATCTATTTCGACCAGGTCAGCCGCCGGCCTGCCCACCCCGCTGCCAGCCCAGCCCGGGGAGAGGGGCGGGGACCTGCGCGCGCGGGCTGGGGTTCAGGCTTCTAGGATGTGGAGCTCCCAGGCTCTGTCCTCCCCTCTGTCCTGCCATTCTCTTTTCTCCTGTTTCTTAGAACGCACTCCTACTCTTTCCTGCTTCCACACTGTGGCTTTTTTAAAACTTTTAAATGGTCAGCTAACTTGGCACTTGGATGAGTGAGAGTTCCTTAAGGCGAAGCTTTCTAAGAGTTCCCTAAAACTAAATACTTGAAATATATTTCCCAAAAGGAAGCATTGCACGTTTTACTTTTCTCGGCTGGGTGGGGAAAACTTGCGGTTGACGGTCTTCAGTCGCCCAGGTGGCCACCTGAAGGATGAGTGCATTTGAGACTCTCCATGCTCAAGAAAGGGGTCTTCCCAAGTCTCTGCCAGCATTTGAAAAATACATTCCAATGGCTTATTTTTTAAAAGTTTAGTTAGATCCCATTTGTCTTATATTGAGAAATACATTGGGGAAGGGATGTTTATCTTTTTAAAAAAAAAAGTGAGGAAGAGCAGGAATGATTATATAAACACAAAGCAAAATATTGTGATTATGTAAGTAAAATATATAGTAAATGAAATACAGATAGGCCAATGCAATATGTATAACGTATACATGAATAGTGTGTTGGTACAAATTTTTAAAAAGAGCAGTGACTTATGTCATCTTAAGCCACTTAACTTAGGCCATTTGGTTCAATGCAGAAGGTTCAGAGATATGATCAGACCTTTCCAAACCCTTCTCTGAGTTATTGGTGCCCAGGGTTAGGGCTGCGACGTTCATTTTGTGTCCTGCTCATCTGGTTTCTGTTTTTCAGAAAAAAAAATTAAAAACATTATAGAAGTGTTCAAACTTTAGCTAATTAGCTAGTCCTTTTACCAAAGTGTTTCCCACAAAATGGAGCACCTGGCAGTCACTGGCCACCTACGAAGGCTTACTGTACATCTTTAATTGACTTTCATTTGGTCTGTTGAGCAGCTCTTCAACATAATAACCAAAAACCTACAGACACACACTCTTGACTCTATTTAAGCCAGTGTATTTATTTCTTAATCATTATTAAGCATCAAGTATTCGAGGGTTTTTTGGGGGGAGGGAGATGTGTCTCTTTCTTTAATTCATTTTCATTTACAAAACATAAAAGTATTTTGATTATGTCCAGATGGGACAACAATGGAATAGGCATTTGGAAATGAATACTCTATTAGTAAAGTTTTCTTTATGTGCTGTTATTGTTATATTATTATTATTCACATACCAATGTCTTGCAGAGTTTTCACAGCATTTTAATATCCACCATGGCATTTATGTGTCAAGAAAGCTCTGTGAAGTAGGGCAGGATAAGCAGTAGCAGGATTCCAATTTTATACAAGAGCAAACTATGGCAGGGTGGGTTCAATGTTTCTTTGGCTCCCCAGGTAATGAGGAGCTAAGGTCTGCTTTTCAGTGTCTGGTTGGGTGTTCTTTCATCTACAGCAGGGATAAATTCTAACTGAATTTATCAGTTTCCAGAATTTAAAATTGAAGTGAAGGAGTTGAGGGGAAAGAAAGAAGCAGCCTCCGAGGCTTAAATGGAGAATGCTTTATTCTTTTCTAAAGCTTTGTAAGGAAGACAGCTAGCTTAGCCTTGTGAGACTGAGAATAGGCATCCAGAGGTGCTTGTCTTAACAATGGAGCCCGGAGTGTCTATCTCAGTCCTGTCCTTGAGTGGAGCTGAAGTGGTGCTCACAGCTGAGTTGAAGAAGCTGGAACAGGCATATTTCACAAGTCATTTCAGCGGTCGTCATTGGCAGCATTTCACAGTGCGTTGGGAATTGCGTGTTAGTCATCTATAATGAGCCTGTAAGAAATAACAGCAAAGGTATTCTGGTTGAAGTTTATATTCTCATTAGATGACAAGATCTTAAATCCAAGGATGATGTTGTTGCTGGCTGTTTGTTTTAAAAGGCAGGCCATCTTATTATGATAAAGGAGTTGTGCATTTATGGATGAGGAGGATGGAGAAAGCATCCAGACAGTGGTCAGATTCTGTGCTGATCATGTGAAAGAAACTGGGTCATCATGGGGGTCCTGCCACTCTTGAAATTCTGCTTATGAAACACCCCCGCCCTTTTATCTGAGGAAAGCCATCTGCAGGGTCATGCAACCTCATTCCAGGTGGCTAATTTTGTCATTGTTTTGCATGCTGTAGAGTTCCCATTTGCTTAAGCTAGGATGCCCAAGCTGCGGATGATTCTCTCTATTTGCAGGACACCAGAGCTCAGGCAAGGGCTCAGGCACATTGCTCAGGGGAAAGCAAGGAAAAACAGAAGTAGCAAATGTTTTTCTACAAAGGTCTTTCATTCAGCACCCATCATTGAGCACCTACTGTGTGCATCCAGAGTTTGCCAGGCACTGGGAAACACTGGAGTCCCAAACCTCCCAGACCCCTTTGTCTCCGGGAGCCCATGAAGTTAGGCCCCAAGCTTGAACTTACAGAGGTGATCTCCTTTAATTAGACTCTTGCTCCAAAGCCCTTTTTCTCCCCACTCAGAATGGAACTCTCTTTTTGTCAAACAAGGCATCATGTTGATGATCCCATAATCCCACAGACCTCCCTGGACTCAACTTACGATTTGTTCAACAAGCTTACCATCTTCGATTCCTTTCTCTCTGCCCTGCCCCTTAACTTGGGAAATTCACAGCCAGCTTTTGAATGCATAAATAAAATACTTTAAAAAATCTTGATTAGTTAAAATTTATTGAAATAGCGTTGAGATTACTTCCTGCTATAGGATATTTTAACCTCAGCCCTGCCTCCTTCCTGGGGAAGCCAGAACGCTGAGGATGCTGAATCGGTGTTCCCAGCCGCTGATGAAGGAGGCAGTGCTGCTCGTCATCCAAGGATGATGAAAACATATACTAAGGAGGGGCTTGCTATTTTGTGCTGTGTTCCCTCTTCTTTTTCAGGTATTAGTAAATATTGGCAACCACTTTGATCTTGCCTCCAGTATATTTGTAGCACCGAGAAAAGGGATTTATAGCTTCAGTTTCCACGTGGTCAAAGTGTATAACAGACAAACCATCCAGGTGGGTAGATTTGAAACCGGATCGTTTCAGGTTTGGGTTTATAGCTTTCCATTACTAAAGGCCCTTTCACCAGGTCTGTGAGGCTGAGGGAGCCAGGGTGCTGGGCTCTCCAGGGGAGATGTGGCTCTGAATCAGATGGGGGTGCTCACTGTCAGGCCCTTTGGTGTGTGTTCTAGGGGAGGGACGGGGATGGGAGTGGGGATATTTGCAGAGCAGAGAACAGTGTGTGGGAGTTGGGTCCTTTATGGTCTGTTGAGCTCTACTCTCTGCGTTTTAGGTCAGTTTAATGCAGAATGGCTACCCAGTGATCTCCGCCTTTGCGGGAGACCAGGATGTCACCAGAGAAGCTGCTAGCAATGGTGTGCTGCTGCTCATGGAGAGGGAAGACAAAGTGCATCTCAAACTTGAGAGAGGCAACCTCATGGGGGGCTGGAAATACTCCACATTCTCGGGCTTCTTGGTGTTTCCTCTATAAACACAGAGCCCCCTGGATGGTAGGGAAATGGCAATCTGGACCCAGGAATCCGCCCTTTAAAACACCCTAAACTTGCTGGAATTGGACACCTTGTTTCCAACCTCCGTCAGACTGTTGCAGTAGAAAAATGATTTCCTTCGAAACCTTCAGTACTTTTTGCTTTTTTTTTTTTCTTTTGGAATATTGACAATTCCTCGGGAACCTGGACTCTAATTAGTTTTAGATGACAAGGTCTTAAGGAGAAATGAAATGATCGATTTGAGCAATTTGTACCTGTGATTGTAAAGTCAATATCGGATTTTATTGTTGGGACCATGGGCCTCTTTTGTTTGTATGTTGCGTGTTGTCCCAATGGAAGGAGAGCTCCTGACTCCAGGATGGGCTGCAGGTTGCAGTCGGGGCTTGAAGCAGGAGCCCAGCAGAGAACCACCCGCTGGACAGTCCTTGACATGTGTTCTGTGTGTGTCTGTATAGCCTTAAGAAAAAGAACGGCTTCACTTTCATTCTGTATCTTCCCCCCCCACCGTGTGGATGGGAGGACTTGGGAGGGGGATGGGGACATTGTGAACCTGTCAAGAAGTGCTTTATCCAGAGAAGCAAATTTTGCACGATTGGACTGTAACGTTTGCTTTGTATTGTTTGTGTGTTTTTTCTTTAAAAGCTTTACTTTCCTTTCCGCACTCAGCTCTCCCGCCTCGACCTCACTTTTATTTTTCTCGCTGGGGTTGGGGAGAGAAAATATATGCTGAATTCCTGGATAAGACCAAACAAAACAAAACTTTAAAATAACTGTATGTTTTTTTAGATGAGACCAAACTAAACAAAAAGTATCTGTTTATCAAAGTAAAAATAACACAATGGACAATTCTGCTTATTCTCTCAAAGAGATTCTAAGATGCACCTTTAGAACTATTAATAGCAACCTGGATTTTTTTTTTTTAATTTATACTTCAGATTCTTTTAACTTGGTGTTCCTGGGTGGTCCTGAATCACATAAGTTGGGAGTGGAAGCTGTAAAGGCCAAATCCCCTACACATACTGTTTCTTTGCCATGTGTGATGTGACTTCTCAGCGGGTGTTTTAAATTATTCGGATCCACCTCTGAGTGAGCCCACAGTAACCGGGTGCTTCAAAGCCAACAGGACCAGCTCCTCTTCCTCCGGATCCTCTTTTGATCTGCCCAGGAAAGGGATGCATTGACACTCTCCTGCATGCACCTGGCCAGAAGCCACCTGGAAGTCACCGTGGTTAAGATATTGGTGGAGGCACCCCAGGAGCACTGATACAAATCCTTCTTGTTTTGGCGTCTTGTACAACAACGTTATTAAGACACAGCTGAGAGTTGATGGATGTGTAATTCATATGCCAAGGACATGTCAGTCATCCCAAAGCAATCAAAGAAGAGACCTCAAACCGGATGTTAATTTGTTCTTTGTGTAACAATGTAACCAAAATATTGATGACAAAAAGTCATAATTTAAGATTCAGAATAAATGGATTTGATGTCTATCTTGTTATCCTCCACTTCCTCTCCCAATTCGCAAAATATGTGGAAGTAAAGGCTGAACGTCAAGGACTTGAGGGTGGTAAATCCATACAGTGCCTCTGTAAAAAAATGTACTCTCAAACACACACGCTGGTATGTGCAGACCTGGCTGTGGGTCTGGATGGTTATTGTACGCTTAGATACCTTTCAGTTTATACATATGTATTTTTCAAAAAGGCAGATCTCGTGGGAGATAGGTGAAAGAGACAACTTAAGAAAGTTTTAGGCATAGGCAATCTGCTTTTATCACATGTCATCTTTGATGTGATACAAGTTCTAATCCAGTATTTTCATCAGCAAATACTGATATAAAAGAAACAAACACTTTAAGAGCGTCGTTGTTTCTAAAATTGTGTGTGAGGATGGAGAGACATTGGATTCCATTTTTGAAGAAGAAATTCAGTGAGGATTATACAAATAACAAAACATATAGTTTGAAGATGGGTCTAAGTTCTACTGTCCTCAGATGAGGAACACAGTGGGATGCAGAATTTTATTTGAATTAAAATGCTGTTGCATTTTATGAGGGAAAAATCAATAAAATAGCAAATAGGGGTACCTTGGCTCTGTGATGAGCAGACATACTTCTAAATAAGAACATTATTTATTAAGGCTGATAACATAAATAGAAGGATGCTGGAACATGGCTTATTGCTCTTGGTTATTTTTGCCCTCTTTCCTTCATTTCCTTAAACTTATGTTCAATTTCAAACAAACAGGAAACCTCGTTAGGGGACAATATAATATTTCACAGATTTAAGCGTATATGAGTACTTGTTACGTTTGTCACTTAAACAGTCACTTAAACATATATAACACATGTATGTTTGTATTACACCTTTATAACATAGGTTGTTATTGGGCTATCCTGTCTAATAAATAAGCTATTAAGTGGACCAATCTAAACAAGAGTATATTTCAGGAGTTTGTTTTGTGTTAGAAAAAAACTTGCTATCCTGATTATTCTATTTTAGTTTTTTTTTTCTCCTCCTCCTCCTTCTCCTCCTCCTCCTCTTCCTTCTTCTTCTTCTTTTTTTTTTTTTTTTCCCTTGAGATGGATACCAAAACCTGCCTCAGGGAGAAGCCATGCTGCTAGTGTCTCTAAGGTGGTTTCTCATCCCCTGCAGCATCTGCCAAGGTTCTGTTTGGCTGAGGATCTATGAGGCATCTGAAGCTCCTGTGTTTTGTCTACAAAAATGTATAGGTCAGGTCAAAATGCAAAATATGTATTTTATATATATGTGTGTGTGTGTGTGTGTGTGTGTGTGTGTGTGTGTATATACATATATATATATTATTGCGTGTTAGGTTTTGGGGTACATGTGAAGAACCTGGAAACCATCATTTTCAGCAAACTGACACAAGAACAGAAAATCAAACGCTGCATGTTCTCACTCATAGGCGAGTGTTGAGAACACATGGACACAGGGAGGGGAAAATATATATTTTTTAACTGGAAAAAAAGAGACACCTTCGTGACATCTGAAGGGCCTCTGAGCCCTGTCTCTGAGCTTCAGTTTTCTCATCGGGGTGACGGCAGTATTCGTGCAAGCCTCTCCACCTCACAGGGCAGTTGTGAGGACCACACAGAAGTGTTGTGAAAGCTGAAAAGCACTAGGATAACATGGGGTGTTATTATGGCAGAGAGGGTGTTTCTGCACAAGCAGATTTTTCAACGTGCAATTTATGAAAAACACTATGACTGGCAGAAGGAGAATTTTATGAAAGTAAATATCCATATTTCTCAATAGACTATTAAAACTGTAATAAAAGTAAATATCCATATTTCTCAATAGACTATTAAAACTGTAACGCTAGGTTGGAATTTTGTCTCATTTGATTTTAGGGATGATAGTGATATCCAAATCTATACATTGTAATATTAAATTAATTCTCAATTATGTTCTTTGGCTCTCCTGTGTGGTTCAAGTTCACCTCTCTGTAGCGTGAAATGTCAACATTTTCTAAAAAATATACAACTGTAACATGTTTAACACAAAAATGGAGGTAGTAATATTATGGCATTATAACAGTAAATTGCTCTGGCTGATAAATATTAGCCCTATTAAATTGTAAATGCTTATAAAACAACACAATTTTTTAGTTAAAATGTATTCTAATTTAAATCACAACCTTGGTGAGTCAACTCTAGGTCTAGGTAAACTATGTTTACCATCTGTAATTTCTGAGCCTTTTTTAACATCCTAATATTTTTGATTTATGTGTTCATGTGTTTGTGAAATTATCTACATTTAAGTGTTTGCTTACAATAGCTGCTCAGAGTAAAGGTGATAATACTTACTCAATATTAGCATGAAAACTCATGAAGCCCTGTAGAGACTACATAGATTTACCTGTTAAAAAATATTTTAAAGCTAAATCTAATTATATTAAGCATCAGAAGAATTAGGAAATATATATACAGCAAAAAAATTTGTTGAATCTTTAACTTTGTTTGTAGTATTTTCTTATGATCAAGAAATGACAATGGTCACATACTTAGTAACTATTACATAAATAGTGTTTGCTTGTAAATACATTAACGTATCCCTCTGAATTTTTAGCAGAAAAAATACAAAATAAAATACAGGAGGTGGACACATCCTCCTGGAATCCAGAAACATGTGAGGAAAATTTGATACGTAATTTTATACACACAGAGCAAAAGCGCTGGTTGCTCCAGTACGGTTTAGTTATTGCAAAAGAAGCAAATAATGTTCTGTCAATTTGTAGAATCATAATTTTGCAATCTTTCATAAGGAAAAAATGTGGCAATGAGATGTTTGTATGAATAAAGTAGTGAATATTCGTTTATATTTAGATGGCATAAGTAGATAATAATCTAATGCACAAGTACACATCAATGAAAGACTCTCTTACATTATATTTAAGATGGGGAGTTAGTAGAAGCCACTTACAATGTGTCCTTCTAAAGGCTTCATTGAGCACTCTGTTGAGACACTTGTAAAACATGTAGAAAGATTAACTGTGAAACTACAATGAGTTTTGTCCTTCTGCCTTGCTTATGTGGAAACTTATTTGTCATTGAGATTCTATTGCTAAAGCTGGCACTTTCCTACTAAAATGGGATATTACAAACATTTTTAAATTTAAGAATCAAAGCCTGTTAATTCTCATGAGACTCCTAAGATTATTTTTCTTGACATTTAAACGGCAAGCACACCAAATATACTGAAGTATGTTCAAATACAAATTTTGCTTTTGTTTTATCATTTTACTCTTTTTGTGTTCTGTATTTTTTTTCTATAATACACTATGAAGAAGTTAGCTGATGATGGCCACAATTATTAGTCAGATGTGTTTGTGTAGTTGCCCCATATAATAAAACTTATTTTTGCACAGAGAATTTACCAAAAGGCATAATTACTGGCTTTGCAGATGGATGGCTACAGTCTTTTAAAGATATTTTAACCGTCTGCTATGTTATATAGCTATCCATGATGTGATTGCACAGATGCAGTCCTCAAATCCTCAGTCCCCAAACGAAAACAGCACATCAAAAATCCTTTAAAAGATCCAATGAATATAAACTTTAAAAAATGGGCACGTATGTAAGTCTGTATAATAGCATTGTGCCAAAACATGAAGCTTAAGTAAATGAGCTTTCCTTGCATTCCCAGACCCAGTAGGGTAACTTGAAATTTGCAAGGGCAAAAACCACGTGATTTTGCCTCCTGCAGATAATAGGAGTTCTGTTTTATCGTCCTAAGTGGGTTTTGCTGTGGATTTCCATCACCAGAATTGCTCAAGTGTCTATAGCATAATAAATCATCATCTTCATCAGCTCGCCCACATACACGCACTGTGTAGTGTAAATGAGCTACTTGACAACTTAATTTGGAAAAGAAATCTTCCTTCCCTCTTCTTAATGCCTACAGCAGGACTCCCCAGGGTTAGAAGGCTGCTTTGCACCGGGGCTATCCTAAAAAAATTGAAGCTACTAATTAATGAGCCACTACCAGTCTTACAACCTGACTAGTAATGAATGTAACTTCTAATATCGTTTCCCTGCTTTCTTCAGGAATGCTGACTTCTTTTGAATTCATACCAGGTTGCAATAAACACTGGGTTGGAGAAGAATGTTGGCAATACTCAGGAAAATGAAACTCCTGAGTATTTTGCTAAAGTCGGTTCAATCGTACTTTATTTATTTAAAAATACTTACATTAAACTCTTACATCTTCAAAGTCCTCTATGATATAGGGCATTTTCTTCACTTTATACCAAAAAGAAACATTTATAGTGATTCTGGGTGCAGCATTATTGTGGAACTGACACAATGAAAATCTTATCATAGGAAAAAGAATATCTAAAAATTGCCAAATTAATTGAGTAGGAATTGACAAATTTTTCTTATTACTAAAATCATTTGCAATATTTTTACATGGATCTTAAAGATTTCCTGCATTCCTAAAAGTATGTCATTCTATATAACATTTATCTTTGAATTGCTTATTTTCTTTTATAATTCTGTAACTACTGGATCATGAATAGTATACTTTCGGAGAGGAGATTATCACTGAAAAACAAACTTAGGGCATGAAAATGTGATACTGTCTTCATTTCTAATTACCAAGGACCATGTCAGGATGTCACAGCACAATTTTTGTTCTGAAATTGTAAAGTGTCAGTGGAAGGAGCAATTATAGGACTTATAAAAATGATCTATTCTTTTGGGAAGAAGGTGTATATATTTTCTTTTCATTTCACAACATTTATGTATAGCAGCCTAGGGCCCAGACAGTGTGTTTAAGGATGGTGACAGAAAAATAAAGATACCCTCGGTGTGCAACAAGGGCTCATAGTCCTTCTTAAAAAGAATGTTCAGAATAATCCTGGAGGATACTTAGCTAAACTGATGGTGAGGGGGTGGGCTGGTGGGTGGGATGGAAATGTAAATGCGTATTTACTGAAGTGAATGATGTAATTTCGTTTTTTACA